CTCACTGTTCTTGCTGTTCTTGTCCTTGGTGTCGTAGGGGACGGTCTCGTAGATGTTGGCGTGTTTTAGCTTCTGCGGGATGCCGTCGACGTCCTCGTAGGTCGAGTCTTTTGGAGGACGAGGTCGAGGCGGAGGGTGGAGGAGGAGCATGGAGTTAGTCGACCGGCTGTTTTTTTTTTTTTTTTTTTTTTTTTTTTTTTTTTTGTCTTGTATGTCTGTTTTTTTCTCATTCTTGATTTCTTTTTTATTTGTTTTTTATTTGTTCTTGTTTGTTTGTTTGTTTGTTTTTTAGCTTGTTTTCGTTTTTTGCTGCTGTTGTCTTTTGTTTTTGTTTGTTTTTATTATTTTTCTTTTTGTTTGTTGTTATTATTTTGTTTTTTGTTTTTTGTTTTTACTCATTAACAGCAGTTCGTTTGTGTGTGTTTTGTGCGTGGGTTTAAGAGCCTGTAGGCGTCCGTGTGTGTGTGTGTTTATTGGTGACATGTGGACTTATTTTAGTTTATTTATGGCTCAGTAAATGTCTTAATACTAATGATTAATCACGAATTTATATGATCCTGTTTAAATCCCGTTGCATCCATGTTCACATTTATATCCAATTTATAACTAGAGTTTTTACATTCTAAAGCTTATAAAAGCCCATTAGGCAACTGGTTTATCCCGACAGCTCAAACCCATACTGGGACACCCACTGGGGACACCCCCCGGGCCCCCCCCCCTCTACCCACCGCCCCTGCCCCCCCCGGCCCACCCTTCCAAACCGTCCCCGTCCCCCTCTTCCTCCCCCTCGCCCACCCGCCCCCCCCACCCACCCCCCGCCCCTCGCCCGCCCCCCCCCAAGGTCCGCCCCGCCCCCACACCGTGCGACACAAGATGACGTCGGGACCGTCATCTCCATCCTTGGCAGGGTGAAGGGGGGAGTGTGGCCCCTTCGCCCCCCCTTCCGGCCTGCCCTTGATGGTCCTGGTGTCTCCCCGGAGCTTCATCACCACCACCACCACCACGGCCACCAGCACGAGGGCGGCCACCACGCCGATCAGCACGCCTAAGATGGGCGTGATGGGGAAGATGTGCGTGGCAGGAACAGCTGTGGAGGGGAGAGAGTTATTTTAGTATTGTTATTATTTGAAGAATTGCGGGCGTGTTTTTTATGGGTGTTAATGGGTAAATAGTCTGATTTATTATTATTTATCCTTATCATTTCTTTTCGTTTTGGGGGATGTGGGGGGGGGGGTTGCTGGTTTAAAAAAATGGTTAATAGTCTTTTTTTTTTCTTTTTTGTTTTTTAAGGATTGTCGGTATGGATTTAATATATTTCTCTGGGTGTTTGTCTTTGAAATGAAATAAGGGTTACGAGGATTTTTTAAAATGTAAATTGAAAAGTAAAAAAGTATGTTTAAGATAAGAGATAGACAGACGGATAAATATGTGAACTGATGAATGAACAGAACAATAGATGGATCGAGTAAAGAGAGATAGACAGAGCAGGAGAGTGATAGAGAGATGCAGAAGTACAGTAAATAAAATAGAATCAAGGCCATTAAGACAATTACTGATAAAACGAACGAGAGAGAGAAAGGAGAGCGGGGGGAAGGGAGGAGGAGGAGGAAGATGAGGAGGAGGAGAGAGAGGAGAGAAAAAGGAGAGAGGTAAGGTAGGAATTAAGAAGTAACAAAAGGAAACGGGAGAAAGAAAGAGAAGGGAAAATATATAAATGCATTTTAACCATAGATTCCAAAGAATAGATAAATCAATAAATAATTATGATAACAATAGAAACAAAACATGAATATATGTAAAATAGAAATACTTTATTTGATATTTGCCTTCAAAATCAAAGTTGTCAAAGAACCTACAATAAATAAACAGAGAGAGAGAAAGAGAGAGAGAGACAGACAGAATGAGAGAGAAGAGAGACAGAGACAGACAGAGAGAGAGAGAGAGAGAGAGAGCGAGAGAGAGAGAGAGAGAGAGAGAGAGAGAGAGAGAGAGAGAGAGAGAGAGAGAGAGAGAGAGAGAAGAGAGAGAGAGGGAGAGAGAGAGAGAGAGAGAGAGAGGAGAGAGAGAGAGAGAGAGAGAGAGAGAGAGAGAGAGAGAGAGAGAGAGAGAGAGAGAGAGAGAGAGAGAGAGAGAGAAAGAGAGAGAGAGAGAGAGAGAGAGAGAGAGAAGAGAGAGAGAGAGAAGAAGAGAGAGAGAGAGAGAAGAGAGAGAGAGGAGAGAGAGAGAGAGAAGAGAGAGAGAGAGAGAGAGAGAGAGAGAGAGAAAGAAAAGAAAGAAAGAAAGAGAGGGAGAGACAGAGAGTGAGGCGAGTGAGGCGAAAAGATCCGGAACTTTGATTAAATCAGCTGTTGGCCGTCCTCTCAGCTGACCGAGATACCTGCTCTCCTATTCATGAGAAGTAAGGCCGTTCCTCAAACTTTGATCAGATTTGCATACATGAAACTTCAAGAAATTGGTCATTCTTCACCTTGGAGGCTCTGCACCCCCCATCCCCTCTCCCTTCCTCCCTTCCTTTTTTGCTTTTCTTCTCTCTTTCCCTTCTCTACTCTCTCCTCTCTCCTTCTGTTTCCTCTGTCCTTCCTTCCCTTCTCTCCCTTTCTCCTTCCTTTTCCTCTCTCCTTCCTTTTTCTCTCTCCTTCCTTCCCTTCCCTCCCTCCTTCCTTTGTTTTTCTCTCTCCTTCCTTTTCCTCTCTCTCTCCCCTCCCTCCCTCCCTCCTCCCTCTCCTTAGCTCCCTCCTTTATTCCCAGCCGCACGACCCCGATGTGCTTACCATATTACTCTAAGGGATGACTCTTTCTTAAGAGAGAGAGAGAGAGAGAGAGAGAGAGAGAGAGAGAGAGAGAGAGGAGAGAGAGAGAGAGAGAGAGAGAGAGAGAGAAGAGAGAGGAGAAGAGAGAGAGAGAGAGAGGAGAGAGAGAGAGAGAGAGAAAAGAGAAAGAGAGCGAAACGAGAAGGGCGAGACGAAAGATGAAGAAAAAAAAAAGTATTGGATAGGGGGAAATTTTTCCCCTTTGGTATTCTTCTAAGAGCTTTAGAGAGGACAAAAAAAAAAAAAAAAAAAAAAAAAAAAACGAAGAAAAAAGAAAAGAGAGAGATGAAACTTTTACCCTCCTGCTGAAGTGACTTCTACCTCTCTCGTCTCTTCTGGCTTCGAGGAGTTAGAACTTCGAAGCTTCGGGTTAAAAGAAACGCTCGCACTCTCAGTTCAACTTTCTAAAAATGGGAAATCTGACACTTCGGCAAAAGAAACGGCTCGATTCCCGTTCCAACTTTCTCGGCAAAATGGGAATCTGAAAGCACTCTCAGCCATGCAAATATTTTTCCTACACTTGGGAGCTTAACTATACGCAAAAAGGGGGGGGGGGGGGGTATGCGTATGTATGTTCCGGCGCGTGTACATACGAGCATTCACGGATCAGCGGGTAAACCTTACGAAAAAAATCGAAAAAGTTCGTTCGATTTCAAAAGGAATGGAATAAAAAGGAAATGGAGAAAAAATATGATAATAATAGCTAATATAAGGAAATTGATAAATAAACAAATTATGAATGAAGTATAGATAAGCAAAAAAAAAAAAAAAAGTTAAGGCATCACCAAAACTCCTCCTCCATCTCAAAAAAAAAAATAATAAATAATAATAGTAATAAAAAGTAAAAAAAAAAAATAATAATAATGATAAAATAAAAATAAAAAATGCTAATAATAAAATAAAAAATAACTAAAAACAAAAATCTCTCAGAAAAAAAAAAAAAAAAAAACCGGCCCCATTAGCGCTCCCGGCCCCGCGGGAGGCAGGGACGGCCAAATTCCTCTGCCGAAGAAAAGGGTCCACCTGACCGTGGCTTGAGTATAACAACAATTTGCAAGTTGTTTGAGGGATTTGCCGGTCGCTCAAGATCCGCGTTAAATTGGATACGAAGGAATTCCCCGGGAGAGGAGCGCGGCGTCGGCAGCTCTGATCCCTCGAGGAGGAGATCCAATATTCCGCTCACCTGCTCCTCCAAGTCTCGAGGACGAGGTATAAGCAAAGCATTATATCTAAGGTAACGCGAGGTTCAGAGGCTTCGATTTCCTTTTTATTTTCGGAGATTAGGCGCGCGTCTTGAAGGAAGGAGGAAAATTTTTAAAACATATATATATATAGAAGGTGATGGATGGAGGTTTTGAAAAATTAGATGCGGGTAAATTTAGATGCAAAAGGAGGGGTATTTTTTTTTTTTTTTTTTTTTTTTTTTTTACACGGGTGTGATGAATCAAAATTCAACACAAACGCACAGGTTTATTTGGAAGTGGGAAGCGGGGGCTCCCTCCTTCATGTATATATACATATATACATACCTTCATATATACATACAGATGTACATACACTCGCGGAAACAATTTACTTTCACACATTCTCACTCTCGCTCTCTCTGTCTCTCTCTCTCTCTCTATCTATCTATCTATCTATCTATCTATCTATCTCTATCTCTCTCTCTCTCTCTCTCTCTCTTTCTCTCTCTTCTCTCTCTCTCTCTCTCTCTCTCTCTCTCTCTTATTATATAAATATATATATATATATATATATATATATATATATATATATATATATATATATGCTATCTATCTCTATCTGTCTATCTCTATCTATCTATCTCTATCTATCTATCTATCTTTATCTATCTCTATATCTTTATCTATCTCTATCTCTTATCTTATCTCGCGCACACGCCCCGCGCCCTCACCTGTGCCCGGCTGCGCGGAAGGCAACGTGAACCCGTGCAGCACTTGCTCCACGCTCTTTCCCTTGACGTTCTGCGCGTAGACCTTGACCAGGTAGTCGGACTCCGGCGGGAGGTCCTCGAGGGTGAACGACGGCGCCCCCCGCACGCGTTCTCGTTTGCGGAAATAAGCGCTCGTTCTTCGTCGCTCGGGAAAGCCAGGGACTCGACGAAGCCCTCCATAATTAGTGACATCTGCAGCAGCCCGCATTAATATTACAGAACAGCCCTACAATTAGTGTACAGAAGCAATATCCCGATACTAAGAGGCACGAAGCACCGCACCGGGGACCCCACCGTAATAAGAAACAGAGCCAATGCCCCCAATTATGACAGGAAACACCCTATTAGTGGACAAAGCAGCCATATTAGTGACAGAACAGCCCATAATTGTGGACAAGCAGCCCCGATAATTAGTGACAAAGCACCCGTAATTTCAGAACACACCGATAGATAGAAGCAGCCCGATAATTATGACAAAGCAGCCCGATAATAGACAGGAAGCAGCCCATAATTTTATGAACAAGCACCCAGAATGAGGACAAAGTATGGCGCCGGAGAGATAGAATCAGCCCGATATATTTTGAACCAAGAAAAGCATCTGAGAGGTCTACCCGATCTTACGTCAGAACAGGCAATGAGATGAACAGCGCAAGAGATTATCATATATCATGCAGAGCGTACGAACAACGCTTAGAATTACTGGACAGACAGCCATCAAATGGACAAAGCACCCGATAAGATGGACAGAAGCGCGTCGCATAATGAGGGACAGAAAGGCACCTGAAATAGACAGCTCCGAATATTGCACGCCCTACGAATTGACGACCAAACCAGCCCGTGGTAAGTAGGAACAACACCAGACCGAGAGATAAAAGCCCCTGAGATTACAGAACAGCAACCGGATATGAGACCACCCACAGGTAGGTGATCATAGAGCGCAGACGCTGCATTGATAAGCTGCCCCACCGATGAAGCAGAGCAGCTCGTCGAAATAGGACGAGAAGCAGCCGATAATTATTACAGAAGCAGCAAACCGATAGATAGATATCGCACCCGAAATTCAGATAACAGAAAGCTGGCATCTAGTAATAGAAGCACCCGATATACTATCACAGAACACTGCAGTAGATAAGGAAGCAGCCCTAGATAATACAGAAATCGAGACCATAGATAAAAGCCCCGATAAGTACAAAGCAGCCCAAATTATGGACAACAGCAGCCCGATATTATGACAGAAGCAGCCATAATAGTGACAGAACATGCACCGACAGGAGATAAACACCCGATAAGATGACTAGAGTGAGTTGACGAGACATCTGTCGAATTAGAGTTAGAACCGCGTCCCAAATTTAGGACTGCACCGATGCAGTGCCATTATGTGCCGATTGGACAGGAAGCCAGTGCCCATGAATAGTAAGAAGCAGCCGAACGGCCTAAAAGCTAGGGCAGCCGAGCTGGCGTGACAGAACGAAAGGCTCGGGGACCTTGACTCTCAGCTTTCGTGACTTAAAATGTGAGGTTCCTGGGAGACTCCCACCACTTGAAAGCGATGGACGGCAGGTGCCAGCTTTATAGGAAAGAAGCAGGGGGCCCTCGCCCGAATCAATTAGCAATAAAGCAGGCAAACGTGTGTATAGAAAGAACAGCACCCATAAATTTATGAGCAGACCCAGCAGGAATATGAAGAGAAGGCATCCAAGCCCGATTAATACGTGGACAGGAAGCACCCGCAGAATATGGTGTGTGGACAGAAGCAGCCCAAATGGAGCGGGGACAAGAAGCAGCCCGAGAAGAGGTGAGGGACAAAGCACACCGGAGAAGAAAGCAGGCCCCAAATGAGACAAGAGGGCCAACGGAAAGGAAGCCCACGCCCAAATGAAAGACACCCAACGGAAGAATAAAACAGCCGGCATTGCACCCACCACCCCTGTCCGTTGATAAGCCTCAGCGGGAACCACTCCAGGATGACAACCGCAACCTTCTCACCGCTGGAGGGACGAGGAAGTTAGACAGATTCGCACACCCACCGAAATCGCGAGGGGACACAGAACAGGGGCGCCGCGGCGAGAAAGTAGGGGACCGAAGCAGCACCTGCATGCAGAAGATCAGCTCACTCGCCGGGCAGAGGAAGAGACAGAAGCCAGAACGTCTGGAGAGACGGATGAAGCAGGGGTTGAGCGAGCCAGAAGTTACCCCAACAAAGAGGCGAGAAACTAGAGTGAAAAAAAGCAGCCCAGGTACTTCAATTCAGACGGACCAAAAGTTACTACCTAATTTTCTCCAAAACCCGATAAACCACCAAAAAAGAAGAAGAACTCACCGAAGCAATAAAACAGAAATCAAGAATGAGAAACAAAACAATCAAAACCATAAAAAGATAAACGGGAAACACAAAGCAAAGGCCACTCCGAGAAATGTTAATAACAAATCCACTCCACACGACAGTTAACCAGTGCAAAGCCAAGATCGAAAGCAGGCTCGAGGACATGATACCCACCACCGCAAGACAAGGCTCAGCACCGAGAGTTGGCATGACCGGGAAATGAGTAACGCCATAGCCCGAGCAGAATGTTGACAGAAGGCAGCCCCCAGAAAGTAGCACACGGAGTCCCTCGCCATGCACCGATAAGTAGACCAGAGCAGCCAAAAGTAACGATGGCACCCAGAACCAGCTATAGCGATGTGTATAGTACATAAGCAGCACCTATGCACGATCATCATCAAGGCTTCTGCTTTCCCACTATAGTTCACATCCCCTCATTCACAGGATGTACTGTCGCTCTAGCACATGTTGAGTTCCCTGATAATGCGGATAAGACAAGGAAAGGCAAGGAGGAAAGGCGGCGAGTGAATATGTTGATGCACTTAAACCGAAGATAAGCGCGAGCGATTATCTCCCAGGTTTTAATAATAGAACATATGCCTGCATAAAAACCGAGAAGTAGATAGCCGAGACAAAGCACGGGACGCGAGGAGGAAGGATGTGTAGTGAAATAGCAAAGCACAGGAAAAAACACGAGAAACCCGGGGAAAAAACAGAAGAAAGCCAGAAAGCAAGGCAGCGTAGAGGAAAGGGAAACCAGGCCGAGAGGACGCCAATGAAGTGAGTTGAGAGACGAAGAAGGAGACCAGACGAAGAACGAGGAAAGGGAGAAGAGGAACAGAGAAGAGGAGACAGACCCAGCCGCAGAGAAGAGAGGAGGAAAAGGAAAAAAAGCGACGCGCAGCACAGAGGAGCGAGAGTGACAGAGACAGAGACAGAGATCAGGAAACAACAAAAGAGCAACACGAGGCAGCAGGAAGAAGACAGCAAAGGATGAAAGAAGACCCAAGAGCCCGAAGAGAGAAGATAGAAGAGATTGAAACTGATGAGCAGAGAGCGATGACACAGAGTAATGAGGGGTGTGCGAGGGAGGCAAAAGAACACCAGAACACCCCATGCAAATACCGAAAAGAGACAAAAAGGCAAGGGAAATTACGTATTATGTGTCCTTAGGCCAGAGACTGTCCGGTTACACTCACTAGTCCACCAAGCTTACATTAAGTTTCTTGAATTAATAATATAAATTAAGATGTTCCATAGCGACAAGTAGTCTATATCACAAGGTGCCTCTCCTGACATACACCTGACAGTAATAGAAGAAGAACACTATGGCTCATTCCCCCTTGTGCCCAATTAACAATAATGTGAAGGGCTCATACCAGATAAAGCAGTTCCCTATTGTCTCCTGCGAAAGACTCCTCTCTCTCTCTCTTTCGTTCTTCATTTACATTTATCGGTCACCTCCCTCAACGCAGACCCCCATATAACCCTCCTTCCTATCTCTACACACTGTTCCACCCATCTCTCTCTCGGAGGGTGCTACCATGACATACTCCTATGCTCACCAGTGTCCCCCTCTCCTTTCTCTTCCTCTCCCCCTACTCTCTCTCATCTCTACTCTCTATACTCTCTCTCTCTCTCTCTCTCTCTCTCCTCTCTCTCTCCTTCCCAATCCCTTCTTCTTTCTCTCTCCTCCTGCCCCCTACTCTCTCTCTCTATCATCTCTCTCTCTCCTCTCTACTCTCTCAATCCCTCTCCATCCCCACTCCTCCTCCGCCTCCATCCCAAATCCCAATTGGTCTTCTCTCTTCCACCCCAAATCGTTCTCTCCTCTGCTGTCTCTCATCTTTTCCCTCCCATTCCCCACCCAACCCCTCCTCTCCTCCCTTTTCTCCCTCTCTCTCATTCCCCCCCCTCATCCCCTCTCTCCCTCTCCTCTCCTCTCGTCATTCCTTTCCCCATCCCCTTCTCTCTCTCTCCCCATCCCAACTCTCTCTCTCCTCATCTCTGTCTCTTCGTCCTCTCACTCTTCCTTCTCTCCTTCTCTCTCTCTCTCTCTCCTCTCTCTCTCTCTCTCTCATCTCTCGCCCCTCCTCCGTCGTCTCTCTCTCTCTGTCTGTTATTGCGAAGCGAGAGTGACATCCGTGACTGACGCTTCACTCGATCCCCCCTCCCCATCAACCCTACCTCCCGGTCGTTTGCAACCTTTCTTTGCCCCTTTTTAAAATCTAGAATGACGCGTTATTAGCTGATTGATTACGCGTAGTTAAATATTTGCTGACATCTTTATTGGGAACGAATTGGCACGGGGGAATCGAGGGCCAAAAAAGTGCAACGGTTATATTTTACGCATTTTTCTTTTTTTTCCTTTTTTTTCGTTTTTTTTCTTTTTTTTTTTTTTTTTTTGGCAACGTTTCGAACGTTCTAAATATCTGTGGCAGTTGGATATGTGGGATGTGGAAGAGTGTAAAAAGGGGGATATGAGATGGAATAGGAAGGGAGAGCGAGAGGAAGGGGGGAAAGGAGTGGAAGGAAGGAGGATGGGGAGGGAGGGAGGGGTTAAAGGATTGGGAAAGAAAGGGAAAGAGGAAAGTAGTGAGAAAGAGAGAGAGAGAGAGAGAGGAGAGAGAGAAAGGAGGAGGTAGAGAGCAAAAAGCAGAGAAGAGAGGAGAGAGTAGTACATATATCATAGAAAAGAAGGCAGCAAACGCATCACACTGAAAAAACAATGTAAGAAAAAAAAAAGAAAAGGAATAGGAAAATTTTCGTTAGAAGAAACAAAAATATTGAAAAAATCTAAGGAAACAAAAAAAAAAAAAACGAAAGAAGCACATGAAAATAAAAAACCGGGAACACAAACCCACAGCATCAAACTCCATTTTCCAAATTAGACAAACTGTACCCACCAATGAAATGAATCCTTTAAATCTACTAGAATATACTTTAGCCTATCTGAATTCCCCGAAAATATTTCCTTACAAGCCATCTCGCGTCCCCTACATTGAATATAGTTCTCACTCTTTAGCGGAAGGTTTCACTGC